GGTGGTCTAACATTGATCGATTCATGGTTTCAAATATGTGTAACTTAACAATCTTCACAACCCCGTAATGCAGATTAAGTATTTATAATCAAACAGAAATAACAGCTATACATGGTAGCTGTGCTAAGTAAGCATGCGCACACACACATACAAGCGAATAACTAACAAGGCCAAAAGTCATGGGAATAGTAATTCAGCTGCAAAAAATTAACTAGCTTGTGGCGGTGGTGTTGTTTGGTTCTCTGAGCTGGCTGGATGTTGTTTTGGTTGTGGAGCGTTCATCGTTCTTCCTCTGAACAACAACATCATCAGCACAAACTTCAGATAGAAGAAGTGAAGAGTATTCGAATTTCTCCACGTTTAACCAGTAGGTAGTTCTGCTAACCTCTATCTTGATTGGTTGCTGTTGCTCCTTAAACCTGTCGTTGTTTGTACGTTTATGTTGATTGTATCCCCCTTTTGATCTGTTTCTTGATCCTATGTCACCTATGATTTTTCTGATTGGTTGATAAATTGGGTCAATGTCTATGTGTTTGTTGATTGACCTGAGTGCCAAGCTTCTAAAAATTCCCTAGTGTTCTTTGTCCTCACCCTACCCAATATTTCCACATTGTTCCAATCGAATGTGTGTCCATAATTGTCGGTGTGTGTATTGATATAAGCGAAGCGTTGTTGTGGCGTTTGACTGCTAAAACTCCACAACCAAAACATCCAGCTCAGAGAACCAAACACCACCACCAAAATCATCCACCTGAGCTGCAAATCTTCTCCACCATCTCAAGATTAACTGGCTTGTCTGTAAACTAGCACAAGCCATGTATGTACGCTCAACATATCAGTGTACATACATTACAGATTGTTAAAATGATTCGTTCATTGGGATAATAAGAAATAGATGGTTGGTTGGTTGGTTGGTTAGTTGATTACTAATTCACTTTCCTACTTACTGATCAATGACTTTTTTTTCACAGTCGTACAACCGGTTGAAATGTTTACACCTACTGATTCACCACGCGCTCCTTTTAATTCTAATGTTTGTTTTGTTTGGAGCATAAAAAATGGCAAACATATTTAACTGCACACTCTTACTAGCTCAAAGTTTCAGTAGTTAGTCAGTTAGTCAAACTGAATATAAATTGAATAAAACTCGGAATTCCAATCTACTACCGATTAAAAGTTATAATGTTTTAATCACTCTACAAAATTTATTATCTATTTACATAGTCTATACTTTTCATTAAACGGTTGTGAAGATTGTTGAAATTCATCGAAATCATGAATCGACCAGTCTTAAACCACGATTAGAAACCTGGAAGCTCTGGACGACCGTCTCGTCCTAGTATGGAACTCATCAGTAGTGTGTATCCAGGACCCTCGACTGGCCCACGAACGCGACTGATTCATCATTTCAATGAAACTCAATAATTTCCACAACCGTTTAATGAAAATTATCGTGTATCCACCAAGTGACTAGTTCTGTGTGGATGTTTCTTCGAGTTCTTGTGAGAAGTCGGGGCCAGTGGAGTTTAACCCTGTAGGATTTGAAGCACTGCCCACCGAAGCTAGTGGATGAGTCTGTGCAAGACTGTAACTTGATCGAAGTTAGACATTAGCACTGTTGGATGCCGGCTCAGTGGTCTAGAAGTTAAGCGTTCGCGCGTAAAAGTCATAGATGCGCACAGCTAAAGAGTCTCATACTAGGACGAAACGGCCGTCTAGTGCTCCCAGGTTTCTAATGATGATCTAAAATTGACTCATCGATAATTTCAATGGTCTTTAATTGTTTTCATTTTTGATACGGTGTGAAATTAAGTCGCAAAGCATCAAAACGTACTGATGTTATCAGTCAACTGGAAACAATGTATAAGTTTTCACACCGAATCAACACAACTAGATGAAATAATCAAACGGCTTATTGGAATCAGTCAGTTATGGCTTTGAGCCATGTCATTCAAGATCTGTAACCATCGATTACTATCATCTCGCAGATCCCAACCAGGTAGTTTTCTCCTACTACCAACATAACTCAATCCGGTTGTCAGTGACTTCATGGATTTGTGCCATGTTCTGGTTTGGCCGCCCCTATCTTTCTTCCAATCTGCTCCTACACCATAAAACGTAGCTTGTTGGAGTAGTCTTAGTAGTATCGATTTTGGTCAAACAAAAATTTGGCATAAAAACTATGATTGGAGAAAGAAAAGCTAATTTCTCCTGAGTAGAAAGTATAGAATGATTCCACATTTTAAGATGTTAAAGAAATCATAAAAGCCAATGTATTTCCAGCATTAGAATCATCTTTATAAGACATAAAAATAAACGTTTCTCAGCTCCCGATCCCATTTGTTACATGGACCATAAACAAGTAGTTCGCACCTATCTACTAATATAGCTCTGTTCCAATAGTCAATACATTTGTGAACTGGTGCGCTTCATCTCGGTTTAGCTACGATTGAAAATTGAATGTATAGTGACATTATTGACTAATCAATTAATATAGTCTGTTATTGTGCTGTATAGTTTTTACGCATGCACGTAAACACGTCATTTTGATAAGCTTGAACTATTTCGAATTTACTTTAGTCGGAAAACGAGAGCGAGGATTGAGGATCTGGCGACACGATAGGCTACTGTAATCCGATTGTCCCAACTTCCATTGAATAAAAGAATAATACGTGATATGAAGTAGAACCTGTATCTTCTACAAGCATCCAGAAAGTACGGGATCTGAGTTCAGAAGAAGACGCGGATCCCGGACTGAGGATCCGGGTCTGGGTCATAAATGCCTATTTATACATTTAGATCGAATAAGAAACAACATTGAAGTCTGTGACATTGATAGTTAAGGCAACCAATAGGAAAAAACACTTGAAGTGACATTGATAGTCAGAACGGCCAATGGGAAACAACATTGAAGTACGTGATATTGATATCTAGGACGATCATAATATTAACCAATAAGAATCGACCAATAGAATTTACACTTACAAAATGCTTCCTCGTAGGATATTTAGTGCATATCCTAACAATAATATTTGAATTTTTAAAATTTCATTAATATTCTATCAAATCATTTTAATGTACAATTATTACTGTTCATTTTTTTCTCTCTGTCTGTCTGTCTGTCTCTCTCTGTCTCTACACTTTAAAATAATAAATAAACCCAAATGTTTCTCTCTTTTCAAGTCTTCTGATCTTGTTCATCGAGTACGTAATCTCATCAAAACTGCTCCTAATGACTTATCACCATCAACATCGCCAAATCATCAAACATCATCAATGATATCGAAATTATGTGCTTCACCACCGAAACGTCTCATGAAAATGTTGAGTAGACGACATGAAGTAAGTTGTGGGTTTTTTTGTTGTTGATATTTTGATTGGCTCCTGCTTAAATAAATAAATATATGTTTAAAAATTTCTTTAGTTTATCATTTTTAATTATCGAGTTATGGAAATTGTTGTTTTACAGTTGAAATGGTGAATCGATCATTGTTAGACTAACCCATTTCACCTTGAGCAACAATACAAGCATGTTCAGGATGCGGTTCTCACCCTCGAAATGCAAAATATTACTTCAAGACTGGGTTGCATCGGCACCTGAACTAGTGATAGGAAGTGAAGCAGTCGAACATGTAGGCCGCCCCACTTATCTGAGGAGTCTCATCAGTGTTGATAGCCTGGTGACTGATGAAATCTCAGCACGGATACAGAAGGCTCGACTGGCTTTTGCCAACCTGCGTCACTTATGGCGAAGGCGAGATATCCGTTTGCTGACTAAAGGACGAGTGTACTGCGCGGTAGTTCGCTCCATTCTTCTATATGGATCCGAAACATGGCCAGTGAGAGTAGAAGATATTCGTAGGTTACTTATTTTTGATCATAGGTTTCTTCGAAGCATTGCTCATGTATCGTGGGACGACCGTATAAGCAATACTGTCGTTAGAAAATTAGTACTAGGTAGGGACGGCAGATCAATAAATGAAATATTGCAACTTCATCAGTTGAGGTGGTTGGGACATGTGTTACATATGCCTAACCACCGACTGCCTCGTCGAGCTATATTTTGCGGTGTAGGAATAGGTTGAACGAAAGCTAGGGGCGGCCAAACCAAAACATGGCAGAAATCCATGAAGTCACTGACAAGTAGACTGAGCCATCTCGGTAGGTGTCGATTACCTGGTTGGGGTCCGCGAGATGATAATAATCGATGGTTAGAGACCTTGAATGACATGGATCAGAATCGTTTGCAATGACGCAGGTGCATCCATTCTTTGTCCTCTCTCGAATCCTAAACTTCTTTAATTATTCGTCACTTTATCTTTTTAAGTCTACTTCACTAGTTTCTACTTCTTGAATAATATCTTCTAATCCTAACCTCTCCGACTACTTCTAATACCTTTACTACCTCTACTACTATTGGATTTGAATTGACAATTACATCTCTGTGCTAATGTTGTATAGCAACATGAATTGACATACGCACGCACGAAGTTCTACGTTGCTATTGATTGATTGAGACCACCCAAACTTGGAAGCTTTGGATAGTCGTTTCATCCTAGTTTAGGACTCATCATCAGTGCGCATTCACGAACACCGCGCGCAAACGCTTAACCCTTAGACCACTGAGCTGGCTGGCATCTAACAGTGTTATAATCTAACTTTTAATCAATCGAAGGTTTTGCGCAAACTCACCGATTGTCTTCGGTAGTTACAACCGACAAGGTTGAACTCCACTGATCACCATGATCGGAGTGGTCATGAACGCGCACTGCTGAAGAGTCTCATACTGGGACGAAATGGCTTCCAGGTTTCTAATAGTTGTTTAACATTGATCGATTCAGTCGTATAGATATACATGTACTATATTTGGTTTGATTTGTATACTTTACCAGGATTTATCACATATCACGTCGTTTTGTGATTGTACAAGTTTACATTTTGGCATGAATTCCGAATCTCAACATGACTTATTCAACAATAATACTGATACAACAATACTAATGGATAAAACAGATCCACCCGAACTAATATCCGGTTGGGAAGGTCCAGCTATATTAAGACATGGTTCAGTGATACAATTTGGTTGTTATAAATTTGTTTTCGGTCTAGTGAATCATTCTTTGCCTCCATATTCACCATCACCACCTCCACCGTCATCAGCGTCAGCATTGATGATGACGACGACGTCGACCAAATCGACAACAACAGTGACGACACCGCATTCTTCCATAGCAATCTCGTAAATAAAAAAAAACTGTTACTTTAACCTTGTCAGAGATTGTGTATCATTTACAAAAGATGCTTTTTTTTAACATACAAAAAATTTATTGGGTCATTAAATTTTAACATTAAAATATCAAATCCATTCCTATATATATATATATCTATAAAACCACTACTACTACTACTCATGTTGTCAATTAATTTTTACATGAATATTTATCTCTGTAATTTTGTATATTTGTGTCTTATAAGATTTATTATTATTATTATTATTGATTATTATTACTGATTATTATTACAATTTTAACTGAAAAACAACATATTCATTTTCTTCCTTAATCATTTTATATTATTGGCTGGAAATTTAAAACAAAAATGCAAATGTATAAACATGAAAAATACACATACAGAATTGTTCGATGTTTTGCTTTTATTTTTCTTACCGTTAAATCTCTATGCCGTACAGTGTTAATTGGAGCAAAATGTGATCTTCATAACAACAACAACAACAACAACAACAACAGAACAAAAGCGCTAACCGGAAAAAGTCACTTTGAATTTTTAACCTTAGGAGTTGATTGGTTTTGGTTTATGGTACGCATGCACATGAACACGTCACTGCATATATATTTAAACTATGACCAGTTTCTCTTAGATAGAAAACGAGCGGCAGGATCGACGATTCGGTGACACCACGCCAGGCTACTAGAATGAAATTGCCGCAAAACAAATTAGGTTAAACAAGGAAACATGATTTGAAATAGAACAAGTATTATACAAGAATCGCATCATAAAGTTATTAGG